AGATCATCCGCGACGAGTACGAGGCAGTTGACGGAAAGAAGGAAAACATGGAGGTGGAGCGCAAGGTGTCAACTATCCTCATTACGCTTTCCCTCAAACCCCTCGACAAGAACCATGTTGGCTACCAGCCACCTCTGCCAGAGTCAGAGGTGAAGGAGCAGGAGGAGGCTGAGGCCGGTGAGGCTGCTGGTGGGAACCACAATCGTGGTGAACGTGGTGAACGCGGTGAACGTGGTGAACGCGGTGAGCGCGGTGAGCGCGGCGACCGTGTGGGCCGTGGCGGGGACCGAGGCAACGCTGGCAGCGGCCGTGGTCGCGGTTCCTCGCGTGGGGGACAGCGCGGTGGCGGCAGCAACCCCGGCGCTTCCCGCGGTGGACATGGCGGCAATGGCCGTGGTGGCAGTGGCCGTGGTGGATCATCGCGTGGTGGGGCTGCCTAATGGGTTCTGTTAGTATTAACATTTTGTAGGGGAAGGGGAGGTGAAGGGGAAATAAAAACACAGAGACACTGAAAGAGGAAAGTAGAGAGCGTGAAGGACAGTATGATTAATATGCACAAATGCTTTAATGGCCAGCGTCTTTTGACAAACCAAACACAGACGACAAGAAGAACAGAAACAGAAATAGTAAAGGGGGCAATGAAGAGGAAAAACGCACTGGTGGAAAAGGATAGGATGAAATTCTTCATGGTGCTGTTTGTGCGTGTTGTGTGAGGGGTCTTCTTTGACGATCCGTTCTGTTTTTCGCTTTTCTTGTTTTTTTTTTTTTTTTTTTTTTTTTTTGTCTTGTTGCGGATTCACTCGAAATACATTTTTATTTTTAGAGCTTGAACTCACGGGGCGTAATTATTCTGTGGTGGTGTTGGATCCTGAAGGGGTTTGGGAGGGACGGGTGCACCGTTTTTTTCTTCCTCTGAACGTGAGTTCTTTTTTTTTCCCGTTAATGTGTGTTTTGCTGGTCTCTATTTTTGTGTTTTTGTGTTCATTTGTGCCTTGCACATTTACTTTGGCTTTTCGCACTGTGTCATATTTTTTTTACCAATGCGGTGCCGTCTTTCTTCGTTGTTATTGCTTTACTTTTCATTAATTTTAAATTTTGTCTTTAGTGTGCGTTTTCTTCCCAATATTTGTCTGTGTGTGTGAGAGAGCCTGACCGCTGTTTCTCTTGACGTAGAGGTGGGACCATCAGCTTGGTCGCCCGTGAGCTGAAAAGAAAGAGAGGCGGTGTTGTGTGGCCTGGGGGAGGGAAGGGCGACATGATCTCGAGCTTATTTTTCTTGAATTACCATGGCGAAGTCATCATTGAGAAGCAGTTTCGCGAGAAGTTGTCGCGCACCATCCTTGAGGACTTCTGGACGACGTGCATTCTGCCACTTCGTTCCGTGGATGAGGCTTCTGCAGTGACACTTTACAGTCGCTTTGCCTTTGTTCAGATTCACCGCAACGATGTGGTTCTCTTGGCGATTGTAACAAATGAGGGGTTTCCGCTGCTGGTCATTGAAATTCTTTCTCTGATTGCGGGGGTAATTCAGCAATACCTTAAGGTTCTTTCTGAAAATACACTACGCGAAAATTTCTCTGTGGCGTATCAGCTCTTGGAGGAGCTTATTGACAATGGCTATCCTTTAACGACAGAGATGCACGTCTTGGAGGAGTTAGTCATGCTGCCGACGCTAGAGAACAAGTTTCGGACCGTATTGGACGCCCCAGCGAAGGTAAAGCGCCGACATTTGGGGGTGCGTTCTGTCCCTTGGCGGGATCCTATGACCAAACATACTTCCAATGAAATTTTCTTCGATGTTGTGGAAAAGCTGGACTGTATAGTTGATTGCGAAGGGAATCTTGTGCGGGCTGTGGTGCGTGGGGCTGTAAATATTAACTGTCGTTTAAGTGGAATGCCTGACGTTGTTCTCCGGATGGCAAATCTGGACCTCATCGATGATATTGCCTTTCATCGATGTGTCCGTCGACATCGATATGAGGCCGATCGCACCATTAGTTTTGTTCCTCCTGATGGAAAATTTACGCTTCTCGAGTATCTCTGCAAACCACTTCTTTATGCGCCTGCTCCCTTTTACGTGACACCACAAATTACGTTTGACAAATCAGGTGGTCGGTTCAACTGCGTGGTGGGGATTCGTGGCGGGGGACTCACAGTGAAAAACAGGGATTGTGGAATTCAAAGGGTTGTCGTTCATCTGCCGCTTCCACCCCAAGCGGAGTCGGTGCAGGTGCATAGTAGCACTCAGGGGACCACAAGCTTTTCCAGTTCTCGAGGCATCTTAACATGGAACGTTGGAACGCTTTTCCGTGGGACTGGTTCGCTAAGCGGCGAATTTACTTTCGCCATGGAAAAGCGGACGGAGGAGGTGGCAGCATGTACAGGTGATTCCGCCGTGGTTGAGTTCAGTATCCCAAACCATCTTTTAAGCTCTATCCGTGTGGATACTGTTCAGGTGTTGAACGAGATAGGAAGGCCGTACAAGGGTCGTCAAGTACGTTACATTTGCGGGGCGCTTTGTGGTGCGTACGGCGTAGTATCCATTGAATATCCTTTTGCGGACGCCAGGTATTTACTTTTGGAGTGCTGCCTATGTGTGTGTGTGTGTGAGAGAGAGAGAGGGAAGGGGTGCACATGTGTGCACGTGTGCATCTGTTAGGATCAACTCTTTCCTGACTTCGTATCACTGCCTGGAAGGCGGTCGTTGAAATACTCACTGTGCCTGTTACGATGCTCAGTTATATATGTGTACGTACGCTTTTGCCTCTGCCTTGTTTCCTTGGCCCATATGGAGTGAAGTTTGATAGAGTAAGCTATGTCCAATGAGTCTCTTGAAGAACGCTTTCGACGGATGTCGAAGATTGTGGAGACGAAAGCAACACGTCCGCCCATGTCCATTTCAAGAAAGCTTGAGTTGTACGGGTTGTGGAACCAGGTCATGTATGGCCCAAATAAAAGGTCTCAGCCTTCTCGCATGAATCCAATTGCTTATACCAAGTGGAAAGCCTACAAGCGCTACGAGCAATTGAGCAAGGAAGAGGCCAAGAGAAAGTTCGTCGAGCTTGCGGAAAAGACTATCACTGCCTCCAAACTTTAGGATATTTTTTAAAAAGGAGGGAAATGCCTTTACAAAAAGAAAAAAAAGGGATTGGGCTGTGTTTGTCTACAGTGTCATTGGCAACGTTACCGATTACAGACTGGAGGAGGCGGATGGCTGGGACCGCTGCAACGGATTCCTAATAAATTCACTCAACTGAATGTTTTGCGCACGTGACAGTGGTTGACCTCGTCTTCTCTTTTCCTTGTTTTTTTTTTTTATTATTATTTGTTTTTATGTGATGAAATAAACCAAAGTCGATAACTGCTTACGCTCACGCCAACACACACACACACACACAGGTGCCACTGTTTTTTTTTTTTTTGCCTCTTCTATGGTCTTTCGGCACAGCTGTTTTCCCCCACCCTCATCCCAATTTTTTTTTTTGTTCCTATTTGGGTTTAGGAAGGAGGGAAGTGGGTGAAGAACGTGCTTTCTTTCTTGTATTTTCCAATCACGCAAAAGAATGGCGGAGGCAACAATCCGAACAGAGGAGGTGCGTGACCTCACACGCGTTGAGCGCATTGGGGCACATTCGCACATCCGTGGACTGGGGCTTGATGACGCTCTTGAGGCGCGTGTGAGCAGTCAAGGAATGGTGGGGCAGGTGGAAGGACGGCGTGCCGCCGGTGTGGTTGTTCAGATGATCAGGGAAGGAAAGATTGCGGGCCGTTGTGTGCTTCTTGCCGGTGGACCTGGAACAGGCAAAACGGCGATTGCAATGGGAATGGCGCAGGCACTTGGTGCCGAGACCCCGTTTACCATGATTGCTGGCAGTGAAATTTTCTCTCTTGAGATGTCAAAGACAGAAGCACTCACACAGGCGTTTCGCCGAAGCATCGGCGTTCGCATCAAGGAGGAGACGGAAGTCATAGAAGGTGAGGTGGTTGAGATATCCATTGAGCGACCGTCCACGAATCCTGCGGAAGCGAAAGGGCGCACAGGCCAATTGGTGCTGAAGACCTCCGACATGGAATCGACGTTTGACCTTGGAGTGAAGATGATAGAGAGTCTTCAGAAGGAAAAGATTCAGGTAGGGGATGTTATTACCATTGATAAGGCGACAGGCAGAATTAATAAGCTGGGTCGGAGTTTTGTGCGCAGCAAGGATTATGATGCCATGTCATCTAACACAAGATTTGTTCAGACCCCAGAAGGAGAATTGTCAAAGCGGAAGGAGGTGGTACATACGGTGACTCTGCATGAAGTGGATGTCATCAACTCAAGGCAACAAGGTTTCCTTGCCCTGTTCGCTGGTGATACGGGTGAAATCAAACATGAGGTGCGTGAACAGATTGATCAACGCGTGGCTGAATGGAGAGAAGAAGGTAAAGGCGAAATTGTTCCAGGCGTCTTATTTATTGATGAAGTTCATATGCTGGACATTGAGTGTTTCTCATGGCTGAATCGTGCGTTGGAAAGTCCTCTTGCACCGGTTGTAATTATGGCCTCCAATCGTGGTATTTCTCGCATTCGTGGAACGCAGTACAAGGCACCCCATGGCATTCCCATTGATCTGCTCGACCGTATGGTCATTATTACGACCAAACCGTATTCTGAGGCTGAGCTTAGCAAGATCATTCGCATTCGCTGTGAAGAAGAGGACGTGGAAATGGATGAGGATGCCATAGCACTGCTTACCATGCTTGGTAAGAGTACCTCGTTGCGATATGTTCTTCAGCTCATTACAACGGCCAATTTGGTTACCCAAAAGCGGCGAGCTTCTACGGTATCAATTCACGATATCAAGAAGGTTTACTCTCTTTTTATTGACCTGCGTCGCAGTGTGGAGCTGCTGCGGGAACACGAGAAAGACTTCCTTTTTGGTGAGGCTGACGAAGGGGTGGAGATGGCTTACCGTTCAGGTTGCGAAAATGAAGAGGAAGCTTAGAACGGCTTGTACAATCTCATTCGTTTTCACCTTTTTTCTCCATAGCTTTCATGCATGCGTCTGATAGAATGGGACTCCGAAGAACAACAGATGAGAAGGGGCGTGCATCGGCAACGAGAATGTTGTCCGGTTACACTCTTAGATTGATTGCGGACCCCAGTTACGTGATAATTGTTGTTTCCGCGGTCACAAGGAGCAAAGCTGCGAATGAGGTGAAGTAGATGGGTGCGGGCATGGCTTTGGGGTGTGCAACACACTGTTCTGAGGTTATATTATTACTTTAAAAGAAAGGAAGAGGGGTCACACAAGCAGACACTTGTGAAGAGAGAGAGGAAGAGAGAGAGAGAGAGAGAGAGAGAGAGAGTGGAAGAAGAATACGAAAATAAAACAAAAAAGAGGAGGGAACATATCTTTTAACTCACGAAAAAGGAGCGGTCTGTTGGTGCGCCTGCAGAGAAGGCAAAAGACGCCTCGCGAGATCCCTCCATTAAACGCTGTCATTCCTACCATTGGTATTTTCCAAGGCTGTGAAGTGTTGGGATGATAATGAGTGATTTTCTTTTCCTTCTTGTTTTTGCTTGCGCTTCCAATTTTGGTCTTGTTTACAATTGGACTGCACATTTTATTATTATTATTATTAATTTTTCTTCTTCTATTGCTGTTGTTCACAGGTTTGCTTCGGCTTTGTGCCTTGGTGTGGGTGTATGTTTGTGCACCGCACAGCTCCGGCGTGTGGTACGAGTCACGTTGGACGAAGACGGTGAGACAGGTGGGTGCATGCTGTGCGGTGGCGCTGAGATTTCCAGAACTGATGCGCAGGGTTTTGGTGGCGATCCCCACAATACTCTGGCAGCGAAGGGCCTGTGGTTTCCAGAATCAACGGGCACTGTTGCAGCTAACATGCGAACATATTTATTGTAGTAGCTCCGCCCGGGAGCAGTTGCGCCAACTCATTCACGAATCATCCGTAGAAAATGCCCTGCGTCATTTGGGCGAGTTTTATAAAGATGCTTCTCCGGTGGAAGGATCTACTTGGCTCGGGAAATTATCAACAGCCCCTGATATATGTAGTCGTATCGCTGTCGTCCTGCCTCAATTTGAAAGATGGTACGTTGCCCGGAAGGCTTCAGAAAAGGTGACGATGCATGAACCCTGGGATTGGTATCCAAAGGCCCGTTTTATGCGACGTCGATTTGTTTTTCATTATGGCCCCACAAATAGTGGAAAGACACATGTTGCTTTGGAAGCGTTGGTGCAGGCCAAGAGTGGTGTTTATTGTGCCCCTCTTAAGGCGCTTGCAGCACAGGTTTGGAAGCGGATCGATGCACGCGTACCATGTGACTTGTTAATAGGTGATGAGCGGCGTTTTGGCGGGGGCGCAGAGCATGTTTCGTGTACGGTGGAAATGACACCTTTGGATTTTCAGATTGATGTGGGAGTGATCGACGAGGTGCAACTTATTGCAGACAGGGACCGGGGGTGGGCATGGACGCGTGCTCTTTTTGGATTACCGGCGCGTGAAATCCACCTCTGTGGTGAGGAGCGTGCCATTCCGCTTATTCGTAAGCTGCTATATAAAACACGTGAGTTACCGAGACTGGAGCTTGTGCAACATAAACGGCTTGTTCCACTTAAAGTTTCTCCCTCATTGAGTGGAGATCTAGGACGCATAGAAAACGGTGATACCCTGGTGTGTTTCTCGCGAAGGGCTATTTTTGACATGAAGAAGAAGCTAGACGGCATTCCGGGGGTAGTCCCACACTGCATTTACGGATCGATGCCTTTTTCCGTTCGTGAAGCTCAGGCCGATGCATTTAACAACGGTGTACAAGCCGGTATTCAGGATAATGGTGGGAAAAGGCATGTTCTCATCTCCACAGACGCTATTGCATATGGACTGAATATGAGTATTGAGCGTATTATTTTTACCACAATGAAAAAGTTTGATGGAAAGCAGGTGATTTTGTTACCACAGGCAACCGTGTTGCAAGTGGCTGGTCGTGCAGGTCGCTTTGGCTTATTGCGCTCGCATCTAGTGGGTCGATGCACAACGCTTGACTCAGACGACTTTGCATTTCTGTGTGAGGCGGTCAACAGTCGTACACCTCTGCTGGAAAAGGCGGGACTTCTCCCCACAGCCGACATACTTGAGCTTTTCATTCGGCTACGTGGGTTGGAGGAGGGCAAGAATGTGGCGAATGAAGATTCAACAACATTTTATAAACGCATGAAAGAGTTTACGGAATGCTGTCAGGCTGCCGACTTGTTTTTTCCGTGCGATCTGTCGCGCTCATTGCTTAAAATAGCTAAAGAGTTGGAGACTGTAACTGATCTTTCCTTAAGTGATCGGATTTTGTTCTGCTACGTTCCTTTGAATAGCCATGGGAAAGAGACTTTTGAACTTCTTCGCGCATTTGCGCGTGACCACGCCGCGGGGCGAGAGGTCCTACTTTGCATAGACAGTGAGTTTGAAAAAGTTGTACAGCAATGCGATCGCATTTCTGGCGGCGATATGAGGCGGGTTCAGCAGGTTTTGGCAAAGATGGAGCATTTATACCGAATGGCGGAGATGTACTGCTGGCTTGCGTGGCGCTTTGGGAAGACCTTTGTTCACCTTGAGCCTGCCATGGCGTTGAAGGAAAAGGCGGCTGCAAGGATTGAGGAAATGCTGCAGCGTCTTTGAACACATTGAACGGGTATTTATGTATGAGTTGATTTGTTTTGGACGCATGCGTGCGCGTGCGTGTAAGGTTAAGCTTCATTTGGCGCTCCCACTTCTATGCTTCTGATGTGATTTCACTTTTTTTATATTTTCATTATTTATTTAGCTCAGTATTTTGATGGGATTCCTTGACGCTCTTAACCCTTTCTGGAGATCGGAAAAAGGTGGGATAGACGTTGAGACGCGGACTGTGCTCCCTGGTAATCCATCCAATGTGTACTGCGACAACACGGTGAGGAGCTCCAAGTACACACTACTTACCTTCCTGCCAGTGAATCTATTTGAGCAATTTCATCGTCCGATTAACCTTTATTTTCTGTTCCTTACGGCGCTTCAGTTTATTCCCTCTGTGGCCCCTGTGAGTCCACTTACTTCACTGCTGCCACTGACTATAGCCTTTTTGATCACCGCCATCAAGGAGGGCATTGATGATTGGTACGGGCACAGAGTTGACAATGAATGCAACTCCAGGTGGTACAGTATGGTCAATATGGAGACCCTGGAAATAGAGCGGGTACAATGTAGGGACATTCGTGTTGGAAACGTGTTGCTACTGCTTCCCATGGAGGTGGTCCCGTGTGATGCTCTTTTATTGCTTTCCTCAGATAAAAATGGGGAGGTGGTGATTTCCACTGAGGCGTTGGACGGTGAATTAGTTTGCAAAACACGTCACGCCATATTAGCTGATGTTAATACCCAACGTCCGACACCGAGTGCGGCAACTGTGGATACGTTTCAGGAGAATGAACTTGATATACGTGCTGCTGCCGAGTTGATCAGGGATGCAGCATGCGTCATCGAAACCGAGGGACCAAAGTCGTTTGTTAACAGTTTTACTGGCTTCGTCCAAGTAAAATCACCTCATAGTAGTGAAGAGGAGGAAATACTGATTGGGCTGAGTGCTGAAAATGTTGTCCTGAATTCAAGCGTGCTACAAAATACTCGCTTTGCTCTGTGCGTGGCGTTGTTGACAGGCAACGAAACCCGGGTTGCCATGACCCGTATGACACCGCCCACAAAATGGTCTATGATCGATCAACAGTTTAATCAAATGATCATCGTCGTTTTTTTAATTCAATTTATTTTAGTGACAGTGTACGTCACGTTATCAGACACAACCTTGGAAAAGGATCAACGCATACTTTGGTATCTTAGCATGTATGAAGGTAAAATTGCATTGGATGAATGCATAATCCTATTGCCCTTACGATTCTTTGCACTGGTGTCACCGATGATACCGCTCTCTTTTAAAGTCATAACCGATGCATCCAAGGCGCTCATTAGTCTTCTTATCAAGTGGGATGAGGAGATGAGGGATGAGCAGAATCACACCGAGGTTCATAATTCTTCGCTCATGGAGGATTTGGGGCAGGTGGAATATGTAATGTCGGACAAAACAGGAACTCTCACGCGTAACTCATTGACGCTCAAGAGTGTTGTGACGAGCAGTGGCAAGACATTCAGCCCAGGTGTTCTACATGAAGCCTCTACCCTACTTCGGGCCCTACAGCAGGATGAATCGTTACTGCATTTGATGCGAGTATTGGTATATTGTAATACTGTGGAGAGCACGCAACAAATGGCACTGAATGTGACGCAGCCCACCATGTTGAACTCTCCATGCTTCTCGCCGTGGGTGTCGCCCTCGCCAGATGAGGTAGCCCTGGTAGAAGGAGCCACTTTTTTGGGCGTAAAACTGCTCGAGCGAACACGCAAACGAGCTTTTGTAATGTTTGGCAATAATGTTGAATCAGCAACCGTGTTGAAGGTTCTTTCATTCACACCAGAGCGTCGTCGTTCAAGTGTGCTTCTTCGGATTGATGGGGATTTGCGATTTCTTCTTCTTACGAAAGGCTCAGATGAAAGTGTTCTGCCGCGGTGTATTAAAACTTTGTACAACAGCAAAGCAACCTCACATACGCTTACTAGTTTGAGCAGTGAAGGGCTGCGCACGCTGGTGAGTGCCTACCGCTACTTGACAAACGAGGAGGCAGAGTTATGGTTGACAGATATACGGAAGAAAGAGGCGACCACTATTGCAGCTGAACGAGATATAAGTCTTGCGCAGGCGTATGATGCAGTGGAAAGGGATCTCGTCTACTGCGGCATCACTGCGGTGGAGGATCAACTGCAGGATGATGTTTGTCGAACCATTACACAACTACGAACAGCTGGTGTGCGTGTGTGGATGCTAACGGGGGATAAAAGTCAAACAGCGAAGCAGACAGCCGTAGTCAGTGGTCTTGTGGGTGCTGATGACAGAGTGATTGCATTAACTCCTGATGAGGTTGAGTCTATGTCACTGCAGGAACATTTGGACTACGTTGAAAAACGTGTCAACTATGCCCTGCATAAACGACAGTTTCAAGAGGCTGAGAAGCAGCATCGGACTCATTCTTACTGGTACGTGCGATTCGGTCTTCGTGATTTTGTAGGAGAATTCTTTCACCATGACTCGGTCTTGTCGTTGCTCTTTCACACGTTGTATGGCACTCCATCGCGTGATAATCATGAGCGCTTCCCATACAAGAGTGTGGTAGCGAGTGATCAGGATGATGATGATAAGGAGGAGGCACGGAGCACTACAGCGGTAAACGCGAACGGGGGCTATGTAATTTTCTTTTCAGGGAAGACTATCGAGTTTATAAGAGACTCTGGAAATACGGAACTATGTGCGAACTTTAAACGAGTGCTGTTGCATGCCTCGACAGTCATTTGTAGCCGTATGACACCAGAGCAGAAATCGTTTGTTGTGCAAACGGTGAAGCAAGCAGGTCATGTGACGTTGGCCATTGGGGACGGTGACAATGATGTGCCCATGATTCAGACTGCGCATGTGGGCGTTGGCATAAGAGGAAGAGAAGGTACTCAGGCGACTGCGGCTTCCGACGTTGTCGTATCCAAGTTCTGCTTCTTATCTAGGTTACTGCTGTTTCACGGTCACACGGCATACCAACGTTCGGCGATTATAGTACAACACAGTTTTTGGAAAACCGTCGCTCTCGCATGGATGCAGCTACTCTTTAATATCTACGCAAAGTTTTCCGGTGTCTCATTTTGGGATTCATTTTCTATTATGATGTACAACTCGCTTTTTACCATCCCTGTGACCTTTCTCTGTGCGCTGAATCTTCCACTGCCGGCATCCATTTTGCTTAACCATCCACAGTTGTACATTCTCTCTCAGAGAGGCAGATACTTAAATATGATCACATTTTATGGCTATGTTTTGAGAGGATTCCTACATGGAACTATTATATTTTTTGTTGCATTGAGTTTTATTAATGACAATGTCAGTGGTGTAATGCAGTTGGGCCATCCAATAGACCGCACATGTGATTTTTATCTGAGCTGCCTCGCCTTGGTGACGCTGCACTCATGCATCATACTGCTGGAGACACACTCAATAACGCTGCTTCATTGGTTGGCGTTGATATGGTCCGTCATTGCCTTGTTTGTCGCTTTTTACATTTTATGGTTTTTTTTCAGGAAATCACTCTTTTTTGGGACTCTTGAAAAATGCCAGTTTTTACCTGCAGTGGATTCTCGTGGTGGCGGTGCCGTTTATGACACTCGCCGTGTATTCTACGATTAAGTTTTTCTTTTTTCCGGACGCTCTGCAACTGCAGCGACTTATCATTCATATGATATCGAGGGGTAATCTTCTGTCTTGTTCGTGGGCACACTCGGTGGAGGAAAACCCCTCACAGTTTTGGCGCTCCTTCTCGGCATTTTGCATCTGCCACGGCGAGAATCGCGTCCGCCGTGGTTCCTCAACAGTGGGCACGGTGAGCGGTGTTAATCTGCGGGTGCCCGTTACCACAGAAAATGGGTTTAGCGAGTCTCATGTCGTAAAGACGAGGGACGATTCGAGATTCCACTACTCTGTCGGAGCCGTTTCTCAAGAGGGCGTAGGGCGTTCACAGCATGCTGTGGTTTTTTTTTTTGTTGTGTGTGTGTGTGCAGGAAGGGCGCAGAGAGGACATCTATCTGCAGCTGCATATCTGTGTTTGTGTGAGAGAGAGTGAGAGTGAGAGGGAAGGATAAGTTGGTTTGCTATTGAAAGACACTTTGTATTTTCCTGCCACTGCTGTCTCACTCTGCTTCTGAAATCTTATTATTATTAGATGTTACTTCAAGAGATTCTTGGCACGGATGTGCCACCAAGATACTTCTGAACAAACAAATGAGTGTGTTGGCTATATATATATATATCCGAGACCTTATTGACTTATTGACTTGTTGTTTTTGTTTTTCCTTAGTCATTGCGTTGAAACACACTAAGCACTTTTTTTTTGTTTGTCATTCCACCCTTATTCCTCTAATTCTACTGTTAAGTTCCATGCAGAGGGAGTCCGGTGGTTGCGGGGGAACCTTAAAGAAATTTGCTTTATGCGTTTGCAAAGAAAAAAAGACACACACTTTTATCGTGGCATATATGCCTTTGTGAATTTAATGTATGACTGATGTATACATCTTTTCTGAAGTGTGGGGATATGAGGTGCAACTGCGACCAAGGCGCCCTCTTATGCTGTGGTGTTATGCCCTTTGTATGTGTGTGTGTATTCCGCCGTCATTTTTGTACCTCATGTGCGTTTAAGGCTTCTACTACAGCCACAACTACAAGCACAACCACCACCATGAGTGTGGGGTGATGCGGTCTTGGAGGTGGTTTATGCAGAGCGTGGGACTATATGGGTAGCAGGAACCTGCTGCCGCTCTTGACATGCATGAGGTTGTGCGGCAGTATCTCTCAGCCCTTCTGTGCTCTCTGTGCCCGTACTTGGCTCCACAGTGTGTGCTATGCCTACTACCTGCGCAGTCACAATCCGTAGTCGCTATTTGGCGTGGGACCGTGCAAGCGGGCATGGTGCCGCAGAAGGCTTTTCGTTGAATTGTTTCGAAACGCTTTGGCGCTCTTGGTCCTTTTGTTTCTTTCTGTCAACAAGGCGGCGTTGAGCGAGGAGGAGCAGGATGTTCTGGTGTTTTGGCAGCTCTCGATATCATTGAAGTATCGCAGGTGCAACGAGCACGAGAAGCACGACAAAGAATGGCATACAGGTAGTGCTGCGAATCGACACATGATGGATGTGGAACTATATGGTGTTATGTTCTTGTACTTCGTTGCCTCAACCCTCGGTCAGGATCGGCTGCTGTTTATGTTAATCCGGAGCGTTGGGGGCGAGGCGCTGAAGTGGCAGCAGCTGACAAGCCCACCTTTTGCATCCCTTTCGGAATGGCGAGCGGATTACGGCGCTGTGCGCTTGTCTACACTTGCAACCGGTTGTTCGAGAGGCGATGACGTCTGCAGTCTCAAGTCACAGCCGGAATTGCTGCATGACGTCCTGCATGCTTTGGTGTTGTTGCTGCTGCCAGCGTTTATGGTTTTATAACCCCGTGTGAAAGTTATCTACAAGTCACATTTTGTGAAGGCTAACGGAGTCTTGCACAACAAGTTTGGTCCACAGTTTCTCTCGTGCTTTCTAGACGCCTGCGCGCTGACAGATTACCCCGATGCGCAGTTTGCTCTGCGGCGTGACACATTGGGTAGTTTGAAAATGTATCTCTGTTTTTTACGCGCTGGCTGCAGGGTGCCGAATTTTATTTACACCTCGTTTCCTCCGCCAGCAGCATGTACACCAGTTTTTTCGCTCACCGTTTCCGTACAGTGCTTTAAGCAAGACTGATGCGGTGCTGCATCAAATGTTGCAAGACGGACTGCTGGGAGTGCATTTCACGTTGGAAGATTACCAGGAACGATGAGGTCTCACCCTCGCAACTGTTCCTGATGATGTGATCACCTTTAGTGGTGCTGTTTCCTCTCTTCACCGTTTGAGCGCCGCGGGTGTTTCCGCTGGTGGGTCCCCCCACGGAAGACGTTCATGCACTGACGTCGTCCCATTTTATTGAAATTCTGCTCGTGGACTCACCCCGTAACGAGAAGTGGGATTCAGAGGGTGGGCGATTGATGTCGTTTATCCATCATTACCTGAAGCTGGAGGCACAGGTGCTTTGCAGCCTCTGGAAGCGGCCGCTGTTTGTTGGTCTTCCTGTTTGACCACCGTCGACGGCGTTCCTCCTGCATTTTGCTCGCGCGACTAAGTGTTGTGGTGTCCCCGAGCGTACCAACGGCGTTGTTGGCCGCACTGTGCGCCTTTTTTTTGGCGCTTTACGAAGCAGGGGCTTACTGTCTTGGCGTGGACACATTGCGGCAATTGTTGGCGGAAGATGACGCTGAGACATGACGGATGCGAAATCTTGAGCTGCGAATCACGCGCTACGGGCTGGTGCCTCATTGCGGGGGCTACCCAGTCAGAATCATGTCAAATGCTTCTGCAGCACCTACCCGCGCGGTACGGGCCCGAGGTATGAACATTGGATATGCACACACACCCGACTTTGCTGACGCCCGCCTCAGGTGAGTCCGCGCCGGAAGAGCGTCGGTCCATCGAAACAGACCCAGGTAAGGAGGAGGTGGAGACGGAGAGAAAACTCATCAGACGTCTCACACGTGAGATTTTGCGTGAATCTCAATGCAAACCCCACAAAGGATGTGGACGAGGACCACGCGGCGAATGACATTTTAATTGAGTAGACAGGGGAGTTAATGCAGGATTTGTTACGCAACACCATGACGAAGTAATTTGGGGAGGGAGGCAGGAATATATAAAAAAGGGTTTTCACTCCATTGTTTTTTTTGCTTTGTTTTTGGTCTGGGTTGGGATTTCTTCAGCCGCTCTTCTCGCTCTCTCTCTCTCTCTCTCTCTCTTTCCCGGGTGTATTCTTGCCGCCGCCGCCTCGTGTATTCATTTGTTTGGTGTGCGAGGGGTGCGGATGGCATGTGAAGGATCTGTTTTGTCTTTCTGCTCCTCCCATATATATGTATATATTTTATTCCTTTTTTTTTTGTTTCGTTGTGTTGACGCCGCGTGTCGTCGTCGTGGGAGGTGAATGTGTGCGATCGGAATAAAGCAAATAAATTAGGCATCTTATTCGTGTTCAAAGGGGCATCAAGAATGCCGGCGCGGCTGAAGGGCACCGTATGGAAGGTCATTACTATTGCCGCAGTAGCAGTTCTCTATGCAATGCAAACGGCGGCGGCGGCGGCGGCGGCGACAAGTGTTGCAGGGGAAGTTGATGAGGAAGAGGCTATAGATGAAATTCAGTGGGTGTATTTGATTCTTGCGGACTCCATTCTTCTCCTGTTTGCAGCTCTTTTTGCTGGTTTAACGCTCGCCATTATGGGCCTCGATACAGTTTCTCTAGAGATTATTGCAGATAGCGGTTCCGAGCCGGACAAGACGTACGCTAGTAGGATTTTACCCATACGTCGACTTGGTAATCAGTTGCTGTGCACGTTGATTCTAGGTAATGTGATGGTGAACACACTGATTGCACAGATCACGGATTCGCACATTCATGGATGGGTAGCAACCATTGTGTCAACAGCTCTGACGACAGTGGGTGGGGAAGTCATTCCACAGGCTTTGATGTCGGCCCACGCGTTGCAAGTGGGGGCCAAAAGTGTTTCTCTTGTAAAGTTCTTTGTATTACTCTTCTATCCTATATGCAAGCCGCTTAGTATGGTGCTTGACCATTTTATTGGAACTGATCCTGGACAGATATACGAGCGCAATGAACTCAAAAAGCTAATGTTCATGCATGCCGACCATGCTTCAGAATCGGGTTTGGGTGAGAGAGAGGTGGATCTCATGGTGGGGGCCATGGAGCTTCATGAGAAGACGGTGATGGATGTGGTGACGCCCATTTCGGAGGTCCTCATGCTTGAGGCCAGTGAACCAGTAAATGAAGAAATGATTCAACTCATCTCTGAACGGGGTCACAGTCGCATTCCCGTGTATCAGCGGAGAAAAAATAATATTATTGGCGTCCTTTTTGCGAAGGATCTTTTAATGGTTGATCCACGAGAGAATACACCTGTGATATTACTGATGAAATTCTACAATCGACGTTGTCACATTGTTCCCTCGGAAACAAAGCTTATCTCTATGCTTAAATACTTTCAGACAGGAAGGTCACATATTGCCTTGGTGCAGGAAGTTCAGCAGCGACCGTATGGGGATCCATACTATGAGGTGAAGGGGCTTGTCACCATGGAGGATGTGATCGAGGAACTTATTCACAGTGAAATTTTCGATGAGTATGACGTGGATCCGCAGCCGGCGCCTCTTGGATCTCAGCTTTCCACCAAAGTGCAAGTAGGATTAACCTCGAAGTGGTCACTTCGAGTAAACCCAAGCGTAAATCAATTGAAGGCATCTGCATTGTTTCTATACGAGTCAATTCCCCTTCTTCAACATCACCCGCGGGATGCAATTTCATCGCTGATGCAGGCCCTCAGTATCCACGGAACCTTTTATAAGGTTCGTCCCCCAGCAGATGCACGCGGACTTGAAGAGGAAAATAAAGCAAATGTTTGGCTCTATCGCAATGGGGTGCCTTCCAACACCTTTACGCTGCTCATCACTGGCAAAGTGGAGGTGTTTGCCGGAAAGGAGGGGATAAAGCTCGAGCTCGAGAGCTGGTCTCTCGTCGCTGTGGAGGCTCTTAGCGCGGAACTGTACGTTCCAACTTTTAGCTGCCGGGTTGTGAAGGACAGCACTGTCATGCAGATCACCTACGCGGCCTTCCAAAACATATTATCCATGTTGAGTGCTTGGGAAATACAAAGCGGTACAAGCTCCAGAAGCTAGGCTGTTTTTATTTTTATTTTTTGCTTTGTTTTTTGTTTTACCTCTTCTTATGGCTACAGTTTCCCGTTGATGCCTTTTTCTCTTCCTGGGAGCTCACCGCAGCGAAGAAGCAGCGCCGCGTGAATGACATGTGGAAGTGGAATCTCTGCAAAGAATCCCCCCCCCCCAAAAAAAAAAAATGCATAAACAGGTGCATGTGCATTAATAAAAGGCGGGATAAAATTCGTGGAAGGAGGGAATTTTCATGTGCCGCCATTGGCACCCACCTATGTACAACCATCTACCCCATTCTTGCGAAGAGTGGGGATCAGATGGATCATTAGCGGTGCTGCAGGCAGTAAAAAGTATGGGCCAGCTAGGGACACTGCTCGTTAACAAACAACTGAAAAAGGCCGTCGGTGTGGAACTACGAAATGCCGCGTGAAAAAAAGAGGTATGATTGATTCTACACTTTTACTTTTTCTCCCTTACTATATATATATATATATATATATATATCTACTTAATCTGGAGGGCGGTGGGGGGAACGTTTTTCTCGTAACCCCAACTTTTTTTTGTCCTATTTTTGTTTCCTCTTGCTTAGTATTATTACATTTTTTTTTTTGCCTTTTCTTCTTGCCAGCGGGTCGTGGATGCGTGAATGAGACAGTTGGATCATCTGGATAACCTTGAGCAGTGCCAGAACGAGTGGCGACTCAAGACCAAGAATTGCCACAGCGAAGCTATTTCTAGAGATCCACAGAGGCTGAACTCTCCCCATTCCTTGCGTGCATACGCAACATGTGGCATCGTTCCCCCCACAGCTCTAGGGGCACCCACCCTGCGTCAGCAACTTGAAGAGGGAGTGGACGGTGCATCTTGCGTTGACCGAAGCGATCCCACTGGCATCACAACTCAGGACGCACTGAATGCATGCAATGAGGCGGGGTTTCCCACAGGCTCTACGCAGCAAAAAATGCGGGTCAATGAAAATTTTATGCATCACGTGGATAACCGTAAAGATGTGCTGCTCCGGGCGGAGATCCGTCGTCAGCTGATTGCGGAGGAGGTCTTTGAGCGGCGACGGAGGGCGCACGTTGAGGGTAACAGTGTGCTCAGCTCGTTTCGTTGTGAATTGAGCTCTCCGGATTCAGCTGAGCACGGGGTCTTCCCAGTCTCGTCGCCGACCAACAAGAACACGGTTGCTGCCGAGCGGTGGGCTGCGCATCCCAGGAGCGACACCGCGATGACCTCAATACAACAACAACGACCGGAAGCAAAAGAACCAGCACGAAGACTGCTGGAGCGAGGAGTCTTGGGCGGTTCTTCAGCTGATACCGTACCTGATGGAACTGTTGTACAGGGTGCCCCGGTAGAGACGGTGGCAGAAGATGATCACCCATCGAAGAGAGCGATGACAAACACAGCGGCGGACACAGCTGTCAAGGCGAGGGAGGCACCATTACACGAGGATGACGCACCACCAGCACCCCCCATTTCTCCCCGTGAACAGGGGGAGGTGTTTTACTACTATTGCGCAAATGCCACCGTTGCTGGACGGATTTTAGAGTGTCGTGAACAGAGTCTCTCTTGAAGAATGCTATTTGGGTGAATTGTTGTTTTTTAGTGGCAGTTTGCCTGCTTACCGCACAGTAATTCTGGTGGGGAATTCAACACCAACAAAAAGTAAACAAACCGATAGAGGACAAATAGAAGCATGAAGTTGCAGGATGCCTGGCGAGTCTGTGAGAACTGCAGCGAACCCACCGGTAGACGTCAAAGTGGTGTTCCTTTGTTTTTAAAAGAAAAAAAAACTTTTTTTTTCTCTATACGTTTTTTTTTGTTCTGTTTCTTCTTTGACTTTATTCGCTGCATTATTTTTTGATGTCGCGTTTATTCCACGCGTTTCAGCTTCTCTGTGCTTCCCACCTTGTCTCGCTGCATTTATTATGTGTTGCGCTGTCTCCTTCTCGGCCTGCCAGTATGTTGCAAATAGAGCGCGGGGGAGGTGGAAGGGAAGGAACAATATAGACCTCACCTTAGATTTGCTGTTCCACTCCCTCGGTGAAAGGAAGTTGTTGTAACAAATGAGTACGGGCAATGGTCAGTTGTCAGTAGGGGAAAACGCGGAGCACATGATGCTACGTTTTGACGCGATTGATGAACTCATGCAGTCCAATTCCGATGGTGAGCAGGACGCCATCACAACGCACCTCAACGGGGGGATGGACTTGCACAGTGTTTTGGCGCGACACGAGGCGGAGCTTTCTGCACTACGTGAGGATTTCATTGCGGCCCATGTAGATGAAGCGGAGAACATCTGTTCCCTGTATATGGAATTCGTGGAGTGTGAAAAGAAGTTGGTGGGGTTTGAAGAAGAAATTATTGCCTTTCAGCGTCGTTTGGCCGATTCAGCGGACGACATGGTTAAAATGCAGCAGCAGACTGTGTCCCTTGTGCGTAGTATCAACAATCGCCGCCTTTGCAGCAGTAAGTTGAGTGAGGTGTACACTGTCTTGCAGGAGTGTGATGCCTTTTGCAGTGCCATTGCCCAGAAGGAGGTGGACCAGAGTTACCTGGAAAACATCTCGGAATTGGAGAGACAGCTAACCTTTTTTTCGTCGAACAAGGAACTGAAGGGGTCGGCAGTAGACTTGGAGACACGACCACGTCTACACGCAGCTGCAGTACGAGCTGGTGATAAACTGCAACGATATTTTAGAAAACAATTTGTTGCACTAGCTGCGGCAGAGGACCTGATTAGCATTGAGAGTCAGCAGCAATCATTGGTGGAAACAGGCCAAAATGCCATTAAGTTTCTAAAAAACTATCATCCACCCATTGCCGAGGTGATTTTCCAAGAGTACGCAAAACGAATGTCGGACGCTTTTGCTCGCCTTGTTCGTGCTGTGTTGCACGATTTTGGTGAGCTGTGTCTCACACACACCGGCAGCATTGACACTATCATTACAGCGGATGACGTGCATGATGTGGTGTACAATCGCGACACTGGCGCTCCCAAGGGAAACCATGTTGCCGTAGCGGCACAAGCACTAAAGTTTCCTGTGCATCCGTTTCCGCGCCGCGAGCGCAGCCTTTCACAGCACATGCGTCATTTTGCTGGTCGCATGCTGAAAACTGAGCGACCCATGAGGATCCGGGAGACGACCATTTACGATACAGTCGCGGCGTTGAGCACAATACGGGTTAGAGGTGAAACCTTTTCTCTGGATGCGGCCGCGGCACGTTCACTGGAAAATGCGGGTAATTGGCCATACAATTTTTTGTGCGGCATGCATCTCCTCGTTAACCTCTGCACCTCCGAGTGCCAGTTTATACGTCAGTTTTTTTGTTTCTCCTCAGCAGAGGACGAATATGGCGGGACGGAGGCGCTTGTGCGTGTCGTGTTGTCGAGCGCACTTGACATTGCCCAAAATAGCATTCGGGAGGCCCTGTCGCTTCTGACAGATCGTCAAAGCACCCTCGCTAGTCTTCGTATTGTTGACATTGTCAAAACGTATTTTTGTTGTTTGTCTAATCCCGTCCCTCTTCTCCTCCTCAGCGGCATCATGGAATCGGCCAAGAGAATATTGTCTGGCACACTACATCGCGTCGTGGCAAATGACCAGGAATCAACGCAGTTCCTAACCTCCTTGAGGTTGTCACCCTTTCAGTTTGTTCCAAGTGACAGTAAAGTAAACTTGAATGGACTGCTGGAGGATCGTCAGTACGCCGTCACGCTCGGGCCACACCCCATCGTGCGGCGATTTAGTCAAATTGCAGGAGAAATGGAGCTACTTAACTCCGCCTCTTTTGAGGGATCTAGGGTGGACGGTGTGAATGTTTTGCTGTATGATTTTGTGGTCGCCAGTGCTCTTTATAGTGAACTGGAAAATGTTTTAGAGTTTGTCGTTATGCTTGCAAAACGGCATAAAAACTCATTGGCGCAGCGCATATTTGCTCTTAACAATTACTTTTACATACAGGCGTATTGGCGTCATATGTCTGGCATTTTAAGATCTGTTGTGGAGATTGAGCAGCTGCCATCTGCTGCGCCACCGGCACACGTTAGCTGCATTACTAGCCGACTTTCTAATGAACTGGCGTGCTTTGTGGACGAAGACTCAAAAGTAAACGGGATCTTTGGTTACCTGTTTGACTTTGTTCACGCCGCAGAAGCCACGCTGGGAAGTGCCTTTTTTACAGATGATGCTCCACTGGAGCTCTCTTTGGACGCACTACCAGCTGCCTTGAGCGAGGCCGAAACGCTGCAGGTGGTTTCGGACCTTAGCCAGGGTTGGCAAACGCAGTTATCGGAGACCTGCACGCTGGTGCGGCAAGTTGTCAGCTGGACATTTACGGACGCAGCGGCGGCAGTGCAGGACGAGGTTGCATTGAACTCCAGCAAGGAGCTGGAGGAACTTATTCTCAAAAAGTACACGCAGGCTGTGGTGGAGGCGAACACAAAGTTGCATGTGGTCGTCACGCGCCTCTTTGCAAAACATAACGAGATGCGCGCGAGGCTGACAAGCAACGCGACCGTTCTGCATGAGGTGAAAAAAGTCCTTCAGTCTCGGTAACGTATATATATATATATATATCCCTCCTTTCCCATTAAAAAAAAAAGAGGAATTTTAGAACTGAAACGGTATCAAATTTGATCTACTACTCGTATTTTCCATACTTCATTCTTCCGTGAAAAGAAGCTCTGGTAACTTGTGCCCCACTTGACCGCACAGTATGTGCGACTGTGTGTCTTAATGTGACACATGCACGTGACACAAATACACACATGCACATATGCTCTCTCTTTCTCTCCCTCTCCCTTACACACACACACACACACGCTCATGCTCCTAGTGAAAAGGAACTATAACGAAGTAGTAAGAATATTTAAAAAGACCGTGAAACTGCAATGCATCAGGGAGCTGGACCAGAGACAGAAGTGCTAACTGTTCTGTATGGGACACAGTCCGGATGTGCTGAACATCTGGCGCTTACTCTCACCTCTGTGGCCTTGAAAAGAGGGTTTAGGTACTGTAGGTGCCTGCCTGCTGACGAATTTTGTCTCGAGTCGTGGAAGGATTCATCTCCGCTAGTGATTATTTGCTCCAATGCGAGTCAGGGAGAGGCACCCGATACAATACGAGTCTCGTGGGTGAGGTTGTTGGAGCCGACAGCACCTTCCATGGAAGGATTGAACTTTGCAGTATTTGGTACGGGTGACTCCTTGTATCAAAGATTCAACTACATGGCGAAGATGCTACACAATCGTCTGAAACAATTGGGGGGCAAGCCTATCGTTAACCGCGGCCTTGGCGACGAAAGCGATGCAAAGGGACATGCTGAAGCCTTCTTTCCATGGATTGTCCAGCTTTGGAGGGCATTGGGGCTGTCAACTTCAGACGAAAATGACAAGCTCATGGAAGATCTCCTGAAGGTTCCCCTGCTTACACGGTATAACGTTTCCCTTGTCGAAGGATCCGTGGAGCGCGATGCACCCGCACATAAGGCGCTTCACAATCAGGAGACATTTAATTGTGTTGTGGAGCAAAACATTCGTCTTACACCACAGGACCACTTCCAGGGGATTCATCATGTAGTCTTTTCCCGAGTTGTCACTCGATTTGAAGGGAGCGTAGAGCGACGTGCCCCACTTTCCTTTGAGGTGGGTGATGCGTTGGGTGTTTACTGCGTTAGTAAGGAAAAAATGATTGACAATTTTTTTGCGCAAACGCAGCTAAGTGGCGATGCGGTGGTTTGCGTGACTCCAAACACATCTGAGGGTCTTCTTCAACAGCGTTATCAGCCGTTTTTTGGACGTTCGATGACACTTCAGTCTTTTTTGAAGCATTATGTTGACCTGGAGGCTGTGGCAAGTCGCCTTTTTTTTGGCATGTTGGCACGTTTTGCGCAAGAAGATGAGGTACAAGAACGTTTGTTTGAGTTGGCCTCCTTGGACAACGTGGATGACTTCATGTCATATTCATATCGCGAGAAGCGAAATGTTGTGGAGGTATTAACCGACTTTCGCACTGTTCGTCCACCGCTTTCTGTTTTACTTAGCTTCTTGCCTCTGATGCGGCCACGCTTTTTTTCTATCTCGTCCGCGCCCTCCCTCGATGTCGCTGAGATTCACCTCACAGTGGCGGAGCTGTCGTGGCAAACGCCCCTAAAACGTAGCCGCAAAGGGGTTTGTAGCTCTTACCTAACCGCTGCCATCGCTGGAGATGTGTTTACATGTTTCCTTTGGCGTAGTTCTTTGACCGTGCCGTCCAAGCCAACTCCTTTGATCTGTGTGGGCACAGGGACGGGCATTGCACCTCTGCGTGCTCTTATTCGTGAATGTGCGGCCTCAACAAGTCTCTGGAGTGATGTTCCTATATTGCTTCTGTTTGGTTGTCGTCACGAAGGGAAAGACTATCTTTACGTAAACGAATGGGCGGAGTTGAGCCATGATCGCTTGAAACAATTAAAGGTATTACCGGCATTTTCCAGGGATGGGGATAAAAAATTTTATGTGCAACACCAGCTTGGTTGTCATGCAAGACGTAGTGGCGGCCTTGCTCGATGAAGGTGCCTGCATTTACGTTTGTGGCAATTCCACACCGATGCCCAAAGATGTTGCAGTGACTTTCGAAGACATTGCCACCCAGTGCTGCTGCGAGGGTGACGAGGCGCGAGGACAAGAATACATGAAACAGCTTCGGAAACAAGGTCGGTACGTGGTGGACTCTTGGTCAGCGTAACGCTGTTGTGTCCCAGACCTCGTGGAAATGAATTTGTAGACCAAATTGTGTCTCATCACACGCACATACACACATATACTTCCATATGTACCGGTAAGCACGAGGATAGTTTTTTTTTGTCCTTTTTGTTTGTATTTTCCTTGTTTTTTTTGTTTTTGTTTTTGTTGGAAGTTTTTTATTTGAACCTCACTTGTTTCTAATCCATCTTCTCCGCTTTGTCTGTGCGAACTGTAATTCTTTAACCCCTATCTTTCGTTTGTTTTGCGATGCATCCTGTTGGGGGTTTCTCCTCATTTCTTGTCGTGTGCGTGTGCGTGTCGCTTTGTTAGTCATTTTTTTCTATTTACTGAGGCGTTTCAGGTGCGGCGTGGGGCAGAAGCGATGGGCGATAATTTGGTTGCATCCTCCTCCGCCCAGCTTATAGCGACGGTGAGACACGAAAACATGCAGCTCCAGAAGCATTTGGCGGAGGTCCGTCACGAAAACCGTACCCTCCGGAAGCAATTGTACCACCTGAGCGCCCTCCTTGACATCGCGGTCAGCAAGCTGGCGTCGAAGGGCATCAACCTTGAGGTCCCTGTTGGCATTCACGAGTTGCGCGAAGCCGTCTCTCGCCGTGACTTTGTGGACACAACCGCGGGTGCCATGGACGACAACGATTTGGGGTTTGAAACAGCGACACCGAAAAACCCCTTCAACCGCCGCTTTCAACTTCGCCGTGAGCTGCGGGAGCATACGAAGCCTGTTCAGTGTGCGGCTTTTGCTCCCGGCGAACGACACATTCTTGCCACAGGTGGGCTTGACTGTCACGTGATGCTGCATAGTTTTTTAACTGGAGAGAAATTATGTGATGTTAGGGGGCACGAACAAAACGTTGCAGATGTGTCATGGTTTGAGGGAAGCGGCAACCTCCTGTCTGCGTCGTTTGACGGAACTGTAAAGGTGTGGGACGCGCGTGAAGGAAGTAGCTGTCTGGAGCACATCTATCAATTTGCTGCGACCGGGTTTGCCTTAGCGGCGGTCCCACTGGACAAGGCTTTTGTGTTTGCATGTACCGATTCAAAGAGACGTACCTCTATAGTAGACTTGCGAGTTCAGAAACCTATTTCGTGGGTGCACGATGTGCGTGCCAATACGTTGACCTTCAATAGTTTCAAGACACATCTAATTACCGGGCACAACGATGGGATGATGGCAGTGTGGGATCTTCGTAAGATTGGTCTTGCTCTCTCTTTGACATCTTCGATGGAAGGAGAGACAACAACGAGCGATGCACCTGCAGCTTCATCTGTGGCGGTTGAAGAATCTACTGCCGTGTCCGCTCCACCTATTAGCGTGATTGAAAATGAACCGTCGCGAAGTGCCATTACGTATTTGGATTATTACCATAACAGGGATGACTCTAAGCGACTCGTCGTGGTGTCCGCTGACAACATGGTACGTTTGTATCGGCAAGCGGCTCTAAGCACATCCTCTAGTGGGGCCATTTCACTCCGAAATATTATTGGAGGCGTTCCAACCCGTGGATTTACGGTAAGGGCGGCATTTTGGAAGGGTGTAAAGAAGAAGACGAACGTCTCCGCCTTCTTTGACGATGGTGAGCGGGAAAATGATCCATACTCGCGCCGTTTGACGGAATGCGATCTCGTGGTGACGCCCGGGGCGGAGAACACCGCTTGCGTCTACGACGTGACAGAGGAAGGAAATACCGTACTAGTAGAAAAGCTTGAGGGTCACCGGGGGCGCGTTGTTGGCGCTGCGATTCACCACGGGGACAGTCGACCCATCATTGCAACCTACAGTGCTGATAATACCGTGAAAATGTGGGCCCCAGTGAAGACCTAGAAGGAGGAAGACGTGCACCTCTTCGCATGTGAAACTCTTCAAGAAGAAAAAAAAAAGTGTGGTCAGCGAGCATTATTGTTTTTTTTTTTTTTTTCCTTACTTGGTTGTGATGAGGTGGGGTCAGTTTTTCTTCTTTTCTGTTTCTATTGGTTTGTTTTCCTGTTTGTCTTTGCGTGTGTGTGTGGGGAGGGAGTCTCGCTTCACATTTGGTGTTGCAAAAAAAAAAAACACACAATAATGTAGTACAATGCCCGCTACTTTTATTTGATTTTTGTGGTCTTGATCTCTTTCTCTCTCTCTCTCTCGCTTGCTTGTTTTTTGTTGTTGTCGAGAATTCATGTGATGTATTGATTTGTTTGGGTTGTTTTGTTGGTATCCTTCTGTTTCTGTGTGTTTGCCGCATCCATTTGGTCCCACATGCGCTCCCGCTCTCCACTTTTTTTTTCAAGCACGCGGGGGAATGCGTTGCGTGGGGGCGGTTGCGCCACCCATACGGCACGGGCCTCTTTTCTTTGACGGCCACTCGCGTCGCGCCGAGGAGCAGTTGGCCTTCCATGACAAATACCATGACCGCATGACGCGGCTCACCGGCGGTGGAGCGAGCGATCACGACGCTGCGTGGGGCCGAGATGAGCCTCACGACGGGCTTCCGGAGCGGGCTCCTGACTACTGGGCGGAGTACGCAAAAAAACTGGAGAATTTGGGTCTTCTTCGTGTTGGCGATGACAGGTCGCACGCACAAGCAAAAACCAAAGCAAAATCACCGCCGCCGCGTGGTTTTTTTGCTTCTCCATCCGACAAGTGCTCTTCGTCTAGGCGGTTGGAAACGTACTCGGCTGCGAAATCTCCAACACAATTGCCTGAAGAGAGTGTCCTGCATCGTCTGGATTGGCTGGCAAAGGACCAGAGCGAACCCGATACCACGGATGTTATTGATCTGCTTCGAGAAGTTGAAGACATCCTGGTGCACGAGGACTCACAGAGGCGTGATGAACCGTGCGTTGGAGCGTATTCTCCGCCCACCGGCACCCCCTCCTCAAATCGCGTGCCTGCATCTCGTGGGCATGATCCTGGGCGGGCCATGGGTGTTCCTCCAGCCCCGCCTATTCCTACGAAAGATGTGACTGTTGTCACCGCTAACAACAACAACAACATGGATGCAAATCTCACTAGTACTAGTCGTTGCCGTACTGCACCACCAGCGACCACCCCAACAGCCGCCCCTTCATTCCAACACGTATCGCAAGGTGCATCGTCAGCGACAACGCCACAGGGAGGGGATTGGAGTCAGATGACAAGATACCAACAGATGGAGTGGTATCGCACTTACTACGCATGGATGATTTACTACGCACAATACTATGGGTCGGTGCTTGCTTCTCAGCAGCAGCAGCAGCAACAACAACAACAACAACAACAACAAGAGCATCAACGACACAGAAAAGAAAGATGCTTACACAAAAATTCAAACAAAGAGCAGACTAGCCTCAAAGAACTAAGTCGGGAGTACAAGAAATTGGCTTTGGAAGTCGAGCGTCTTAGTCAAAGCTTTCAGAGTCATGCGTCTGCGAAGGAAAACGCCTCAACTCAATCCCCTTATGGAGAAAAAAGGAAGGACAAAGGACGACGAAGAACGCCACCTCCGTACACTGGAGAAGATGAGTATACACTTTACCGCTCGGATCGTGGTCACTCTTCTCTCCGTATTCCTCATTATTCTGATTCGGGTCCGCGGGATGAGGAGGATGAAGGGCCCACTCCTAGGCGGGCTCCTCTTGCTGCAGCTGCTTCCGAGGCGGAACATGGCTCAAGGGCGCCTCTGCGCCGAAATTCGCTGGGTGAGCGAGGTGAGTTGGTACATGGAGCCCCTCAATTGAATGCGTCAGAGGAGGGAAAGACACTCTATGCTCGACGCTCGAATATGCCCTGGCTTCTTCCACCCCAGCGGAAATCACAGGAAGCATGTTACGGTTCTCTCGCTTCTCGGCCAACTGGCCGTGACATCTCCTGGTTGTATAGGTATGAAGAGAGCGAGACAGAGGGGAAAGCACAGTCTGACGCCGAAGAAGGAGGGACGTGGAGTCACGAGGACGAAGAAGGAACTTCAGACCCCCCGTTAAGTGAGGAAGAGAGACGTGTGCCGCCTCCCAGGTCCTCAGGGTATAGCGTTCAAGAGCAGCGTGGGGGACATAAAGAACGGCGTTCGTCTGTCTATGAGAGAAGGAGGAGAGAGTTAGAACAAGAGAAACCGCGCTGGTGTTTTTGAGAAAAAAGATCCAAGAAAGAATAGAGAAGGGGACTTACAAACACGAAAGGAGAATGAAAAGAAAGGGAAAAAATGACGGTATTCACCATTGATTTACTCAAAGCCCCTGTTTAGCCGAAGAGAGTAGGTGCATGTACACATGCGAACGAAGTAAACGCTGTACGTGAACGGGAAAGTATGTGTGTGTGTGTGTGCGTCTGCTTTTGTAGGGATAGGTCAGAGTGACGGTTTCTTTTTTTTTTTTGCCTCGCTTTGCTCCTTACGCAACAGATAGTTTTGGTAGGATGACCGCCATTTATTTCCTTGCAGCTGTCTTTGTTTTTCCCCGCACAATTTTCGTGGTGGACGGTGGGATGTGAGCATCATCTTTTTTCTCGTGTTTGCCCTATACATGTTTTTTCGGTGTCGCGAGGAAAGATAGTTTTTCCAACAAAACAACACAAACAAAAAAAAAAACAGAGAGACACACACACAGAGAGAGAGAGAGACTACCTCTTTTTTATTATTATCTCCCCTTTTTTCTCTCTTCTTGTGCGTGCGCGTATTTGATCTGCAAATGGCGGCATGGGCGGATGACTTCGATCCCGTGCTCGAGGACGCATTTGCTGACGAAGCATCAGCTCCCTTTGAAGACGCGGCGGATGGCCGCGCAGCCAACAATGACAAGCTGGCCTGGGAAAATGCCAAGACTGTTGTTGAAACCATCACCGACAGCGAGAACAAGCGGTACGAAATTGTGAAGAAGGTCCGGACCTACCATGTGGATCGCCCCGTCACAGTTGTAGATATCCGCGCCAAATGGAAACCCTTTGGTAAGAGCAGCGATAATAATCAGGACCTCGTCTCACGGGACCCTCCTATTGTGTTAGAGTTGGGCGAAATTGACCCATTTGAACGCGTGGCGCGTGACGAAGTAGTGCGCCTTATGAATGAGGTGGAACGTATGAAGATGGATGTCACCGACCCCCGCCTGGCCCGCTTTGCGAAAATCAAGGAGGAACAAGAGAAGGCTGCACAGTTGGAGGACGCGCAGACAAATCAGCCGAAGGAGCGTACATGGGCCGCTGCTAGGGGCGAAAAGACCTCGGCGCAGCGCAGCGAAGACACCGATCGTCGGCTGCGCATCACAAACATCTCAGACGACATTACTGTGGATGAGCTTTACAACATCTTCCACACCAGCGAGTACCGAATTGAGAAGTTGTTCCTTCCCACAGATAGGGAAACGAAGAACTACCGAGGGTTTGCCTTTATTACATTTGAAACCCCTGAGCAGGCGGAACGGTGCCTTAAGAAGACTAAGGGTGTGGCACGTTTTAAGAATACGGTGATGCACATCGTGCGCGCCCTCCCGGAAGCTGAGCGAAAGCGGCTTTGAGTAGCGCAACGAAGAAGAAGACTGACAGGACCGTCATTGTAACCATTTAAAGGGTAATGAGCTCCACATTGAAGACGGAGAGAATAAAAAAAAAAAAAATGAAGAAGAAAAAAAGGACGCAAAGGAAAGCGGAAAAAAATCCCCGTATATATATATATATATATATATATATATATATATATTTGTGGGGGACTTTTAATTAGCGTCTGGCGGAAGTTCGTGTTAAGTTTTCCCTCCTAGCTATGAATGATGATCCTGGAGCCTGACGTTTGTCTCTTACATTTTTCACTTTGTTTAACTATGATTCATTTTCTTTTCTTTTCTTTTTGTCGCCATGCGCAGTGCCCAATCAAAATTATTGCGTGTAACGCATCCCTTCTTAACCGTCGATGAGTCGATCAGTAAGCGTGGATTATCTTTCCCACCGCCTCCGAGAAATGTCACGGCAGCGTGACCGCTTATTGAACGAAGGAAACCAAACTGCGTTTAACACGTATGAATGTTACTACCCATGCAACGTCGCGGAAGGAATGGAATATTCCAGCTTTGAACGCCACCACCAAGGTCCTCATCGAAGTTGGCACCGTGGGGGGTGCTTAAATCTCCCCACTTCACTCCCTGAAAGAAAACGGAGGGGATATAGAGGAGATGTCGTAACTGACGATGATCGACTTCCTTCTTCGTGCAGGCGCCCCTCACTGGATGTTAGGAAGTACCCCGCACACAAAAGTGACTATGGTGGGAAGAATCGTAAACTCAGTTGTCGTTGGGTTACGCTGTCCAGCGACGAGGATCAAAGCCGCGAGTCAACATTTTATACTCAAGCCCATTCTGGCTCTAGTGCCCCTTTCTTCTGTACCCCCTCAAAGTCCTTTTCACAGGTTCCGCCCAGTTCACTTCTTATTGCACTTGTAAACAACGTAGCACGTCGCCGCGGCGTTTATGCACCAGCGATTCCCCAAGAAGTCGTTATTGCGTTTGAGAATTGCGTGAAAAGTGGAACTCTTATGCTGAAATTTGTTCTCTATGACGCTCCACACGAGCGTTTTTTTATGATCAAGTTTCTTGATTTCAAGGTGTACGAAGCGAAGGTTGGACCAGTACTGTGCTGGTACACAAGTGCACGGAGTTCCACAATCCGGCGCTATTTGCCATTAACAAATCTTACCGCAGTGATTGACGGCGGTGATGGTCATCCTGCCGTTCAGAAACGCATGATGGGACCCGGAGTGATTAAAGGAGCTGCGTTTAATCTAAAGACAACTTATCTGGGAACAGATTACATTCTTCAGTGGCATTTTAGTTTACCGAGAGGTGAGGAAGAACGGCTGGCTGTAAAATTCCTGTGCAAAACGTCATACATAGCTTGGCGTGTAGTGACCGAGTTCTTTAGTAAGATCGGTTCCGCAATGATGCCGACAATGCAGAATGGGGCAAAATAGCAACAATGATAGAAACTAGGTGGGCGGTGGTGGTATTTTGATGTTTCCGCAGCGCGGTCATTTGATGCACACACTTCTCTTGTGTTTGTTGTTGTTGTTCATTTGCCCCTTTTGCGTAGAATATGCGAGGCGTGGCTGTGTCTGGGTGACTCGTGTAGTAGAAACCTCTCTTCTCTTATCTACGATACACACGAACACCATTGCTGAACGTATCGTTTTCTTCTCCTTTTGTTTGTTATTGTTGTCACCTTAGAGGTGGTAACTGTGTACACTCCTACTCTTTGTCCCTTTGTTTCTTAGACTCTTTTTTTTTGTTACACCCAGTGCGCAGATGTGTGCGGGAGGGAAGTTGTTTCTCCAACCGCTAGTGGTACCTTTTATTTTTTTCCACTACATGCGTGACTTGTTTCCTCCTCTTCTTCTGGTGGCATGTTTCATATCTTTTTATTGTTGCCGTTTTTTCTGTGTGCACATGTTGTTAGCTTCCCTTTTTTCTAGGTTTATCCCCCTTCTTGTTGCTGACGCTTTTCTGATATATATATATATATATTTGATCCTCCATTTCCATTTTTCTCTTTTTTTATGTGTCTTTTTTTTTTTGTTTGACAAACACAGCTTTCTTGTTTCAGGAGCTCTTGAAGCACACGTATAGTGAGATCAAGAAAAGACCAGCGGAGGGTAGAAATTCAAGACAAAGTGTTGCGAACATAACCCATTTGCACTGCAGTGCCTTATTGGGGTTGCTCGGTTAACAGCAAGTGCTATACTTCGGAAGTTAATCGACAAAAAGTATATATATATATATTTGAAAAAAAATTTTTTTTTTTCTTGTTTGGGGGCTTGTACACCAAAAAAGGGCGAATAAAAAGAAGGTTATTGCGTATATATACATCTCGATGATCCGAGTGCCATTACGTGAGCTGTGGGCTTACTTGGATACCCCTTGGGGGATCATTATTTGTTATGTATTTATGAACAACCTTGCTGGCTCAATATGGACGAATGCGTGGACGCCGCTTATCTACCAAAAATTTGGGAATAGTAACCTTTACGTTGGACTTATGTCAGCTTTGAATGGAACAACGCAAATGTTGTTTGCCATATTGGGTGGCCACTTGGCTGATAAAGTGATTGGCCCATCACGCACATTGATTTTTGCGGTGCGCTTTGGCGTTTTTTCACTGCTTTTTAGCGCCGTTTCTGTGTGGATTGGCAATCTCTACATGCTGGTGGGGGCACAGATACTCTACGGTGTACATCAAGGCTTCAACGTGACGTCGGTGGAGTCTGTCTTTGCGCAGTGCACCAAACGGTCTGAGCGGGATCGTGTGTACGGTGTGAAATTTAGCTTTGAGTCTTCAGGGCCTATTGGAGGGCTTGTCCTTTCTCTCATTCTTTTTGCCGCATTTGGAAACACGTGGCGTGTTGACGTTCTGCGGTGGGTCATTATCACTGGGCTTCTAGTCCATATTGTTTCAATGCAAGTGTTTCTTTTCTACTTTAGGCCGCTACCAAGCCATGTTGATGCCTCCGCTGAACAGCCCCACGCGGCAGGAACGGAACAAGTGGCCCTATCAAGTCAGAACGAGCAGGAGGAGGACCGTTCCCCGCACGTTGAAGAAGAAATTGTCGTTTATGCAACTGGTGAAACCGTTGTTTCTTCTGTTTCACCAACCCCAGAGGTCAAGAAACAAAGTTCAGAGACATATTTTCCTTTAACTTCTGTGCAAGAATGCGGCGTGGAGGCAACAAAGGAGAAGCGGGGCTTTAAGCAATTTTGTGTCATTCCTGTGGAAAAGTACCCTTATGTGATTGTCCTGGGTGATCTAATAGTTGTTTTGGGAAGTGGCATGACGACGCAGTACTTTTCGCTCTTCATGATGAATATTTACTTTGTTTCACCCGTCGGGTTGTCAGCGCTTGGTCTCACGATTTCAGTCTTGGTTTCTGTACTTGCCATCGCCAATTCCCACTTGGGGAGTCGTATTGGAAGAGCACGGGCACTTCTTTTACCAAGACTTTTAGGATCGTTTATTTTGCTTTATATGGCGCTTGCGAGACAAACCAGCGCAGGGCCGAAGTGGCTCATGTGCATTGCATATGTCTTGCGAATGGCCGTCATGGGCTCCACTACCGCCTTGAGCAGGGCTCTCATAATGGATTTTGTGCCGGAAGAGCGTCGAGGCATGTGGAACGCGTTAGAGTCTGTTCAATCTGCATCGTGGTCCGGTACGGCTCTTGTGGGTGGATACATTGCTGATCGAATGGGTTATGGGGCGGCATTTATTGTGACTTTTTTTTTCCACATAACATCCTGCATGGTAATTGCTCCTTGTACGGTAAAGAATGATACTTTGCTGGTATCACGAGATGCTAAAGAGGGTGCCGTACAGGGAGGTGAGGAAGTGCTGCGTGTGTCCAAGATGCTGGAAGGCGATCCAATGGTGCTCCGTACAGACAATGTTGTTGTACACGGCACTACGCCGGAGCAGGAGCAAGAGGAAGAGGTTGTGGTAATCATAACTCGAGAAGGGAAACGAGAGTCATAATGGATAGATAAGATAATGGCATAACTACGGCAAATGGAAGTTTATTTATCTGGATGTGTGTTACGTTACTCGTCACATTGGTGTTGCTGCTTTGTTTGTTTGTTTTTTGTTTTTTTGTTGGTTGCTTGTTTCTACATGGATTCGTTGCAAATAATCCCCTTCTTTGTCATTTCTCTCATTAGAAGTAATTGTGAATCGCCAGACATAAGCAAATAAATTTTAAAAAAGGGAGGGATATATATATATATATATAACTAATAACACTCATTTTGTTCTTGTTGTTTTGGTTGTTGTATTTCTTTTTGTTTGCCCTCTCCATAAACCTTTGGATAGGCTTTGAGCGGGAAAAGTGGTGAAGGGATGATTTTATTTTATTTTGGTTTTGTCTTGTCTTTTCTCTCTGGCGAATGAGAGTGCTCTATGTGATCGCGTCTTGCCACGTTCTGCTGCGGTCATAAAAGATGTATTACTGGGAAGGGCCACTTGGTTGTTTTCTTTTTTTGTTTTTCTTGTCTTTTCTGTTTCAGAGGCAAACTTCCAGCCCATGCACCTGCAGCTGCTGGGTGGGAAATCGACTGCGGTTGTCCTGGGTCTCCTATAAACGGCACCACCTAATTCTCGACTGCCGTCATAGTAAGCTAACAACAAGTCCAAGAGACGAATTGCTGGCTCTTGACTTCCGCCTCTGCGAGGCACTGAACCCTGACACCACAGCATGTTGACCCACGGCTTGGACGGGGGTGGTGTACGAGGGGCTACACGTGCACACACAATATATATATATATATATATTTGCCTTTTTTATGTATAAAATATTTGACTTTTCTTTTTTTCTGGCTTGCGATCGCCCTTACTTTTTCTTTTTGGTAGCGAAAGGCAGACTGTCTTGCGTACATCTTCCAATCCTCTAGCAAACACGACTACAAGAAGAAGAAACGGAAAAGAGGAGACAACAGGCAGTGCCACTTCCGAACTCGTCATGTCACTGCGTCTGTTAGTTGCATCCTGCGTATTACTTGTGCTTATCCTGGTCCCTGTGGTGAGTGGCGCCCATTCCCCCACCGTGCCAAGAACAGAGAAGAAATACTTTCTTCATCTCCAGCCACTTACAGAGGGTCTTGAGGGCGTGGGTGAGCAGCCGACACTTGTGTCCGTGACAGAAACAACGTCTCTTTGGTTGCCTCGTGGTTCAGCTGAAGATAATGACGAGCACCTGACTTTTAATGAGGATATGGATCCCTTTTGGGTACATGTTTTGCGTCGTCGTCGATTCGAGTTGTTGGAGTGGTCGGGTTGCGGAGGGTCGTGGCGTCCTGACTGGAGCGTGACACTTGTCGACACCAATTCTTCTATCAGCGAAAGTACAAGAAAACTCATTTACGACCTCTCGCAACATACAGTGTGCTACTTTTCTGGGCTCTCCTCCTGTGGGTGGACTGAGCAAGAACGCAGGAATGACAATGGCGTTAACACGTCTGTAAGCCACGATATTGAGGCGCAACGTCATCTTCAGTGGTTGGCGCAGTTTGTTTCCTCACTTTTGTCGTCACCCTTAAGTTGGTCAAAGGAGACACCACGGCATGTACGCCCCATTGGTGTGCTTCACTCCGTCCCCGGCGATGATACCACTGCGGGTTTGGGGAATCGCCATTGGTGTTCGTACCATCTTGCCCAGCATGACACGGTGTGTACACAGCACGTCACTACCATTCTTAACGGCGGACGCCGCGGAAAAGGCGCGGAGGAGCACATTCCAGAGGGCATTTTCCGGGCGGGGTTGACCACAATGCAAGATTTTTTTTCGTCTTGTTTTCATCACCTTCACTTTGGTGTATCGCAGTCAGCAACACCATTGGAAAACGCGAGTGAAGAGACGGAGATTCAACTCCTCGTTCGAATGGCATTTGTTGCTCGAAGTAAGGATTTTGACGCCCTTGCACAACATTGGAAGAGATCTCTTTCCAGGTATGCTGATCGTCTCACGATTTTTGTGGGAACTCACGTGGACGCGACACTTCGGGACGCTATAGAGTCGGTGTCGTCTTTTCTTCGCGTTAAGAACGCGTCTCAAGGCAAAGTGACCTTCAAGAAGGAGCAGCAGAGCACTGCACCTGAGCTGACGCCCATAGCTCATTACTACATCTCCAAGGTGGGACATGATCGGGGAACGTATCGACTGGTTATACATCCGCCGATAACAACAACAAACGTGGATGATCGCCAAGAAAGGGGGCGATGGCATGGATTGAAAGTGGGGGACACTTTAGATTCGCTACTTCTTATTCCTCTTCATGTGCTCCGTCCATCTCTCCATGAAATGCACTCAGGCCCAGACGGAGGGTCGAGGTTAGAGAATGCTTATTTTGACGATGATGCCAATGTTCTTTTTGTGTTAGTAAAAACAGTACTCACAGAGGCTCATTTACGGCGCCTACATGAAAGCGCAAACAATACAACTCCCTATGGCTTTGTCGTGTGTGAGTTTCCGTTCAGGTTTGGCTGGGCTGCATTGAAAGACATGCCGCATGACGCGAATAGTAATCGAATTCTCCCACAACCCGTCATTCGCGTTGGCAGACGTGTTGACACAACAGTTCCAGAAGGCGTTGCTAACACCGCCTCCATGAGGGGCTACAATGCGAGTTGGACAAAGCGTTGTGCACCTTCGCGGTGTGCTTTGTTTGCCTCTATGCGAATTGATCACCAAGCTTCACTGGAGCGCCTCATGGACTCGCTTGTCCGAAACCAGTCTCGAAGTGAAACTGGATCGTCATGTTTCTGCTATTACTGGATTCGGTGTAGCAATGTTGCAGGCACCACTATCCCTGTTCCTGACCCAGCGATGGTGTTTAATGTCGTCTCACTAGGACTAATTTTTTATGCGATATTGTTAGCTGGTGTAACTCGCATCACACGATTCTTCTTCGACAGAGACAAGGAGGGCACAGCTTCCTTGGGGCAAGCTTCGTATTGAGTTTTTTTTTTTTTGCGGTTGTTTTGTGTGCGTGTATGTGCGTGTGCTTGCCATGTATGTGCGACGGAAAACAGGGTGGTGAAATGTCATTGACTTTTAGCTCCCATCCGTTGTTGTTTTATTATTATTATTATTATTGCTACTGCTTTGGTTTTCACTTTATCTGCCTTATCAGTTTGGCTTTGCATCAATCGAAGTTTTCAAATGTTGCGTGCCTCTTCTTTTTTGTTTTCTTTTTTTTTCCTAAAGGGTTTTCATGTCGTTTCTTCGCTGTTGTGTGTTGCTTACCGCCCTCCTGTGACTGGTGACGAACATCTCACCCATTAGACCTGCGGAGGCTGCTGGGGATTCAGCCGCTTCATCCCCGTACGCTTCGTTGCGAATTACACTTGCGGAGGGAATACGCGCTCCGTGGCCTCGTAATGGAACAGAGCGTTCTTGACGGAGCTTGGAGGGCAATTTGGTCTTTTCTTGTTCACGGGGATAAGCGCCGCTGCTGTGTTTGATACCTGCATTTTAACACTCATAAGCGCCAGCATTGACTCGGTGACGCTTTGCAATCTTCTCGTACAGTATGCAAACGATACAACGACGACTAATGAAGCATTCCTCCGTGCCAAAAGCATTGTGGATTGTACGTACGGGTATTTGCTTGTTGAAGTACCAGTGTTTCTGCTACTCTCTCACGTTTTCTCTAACACCCCATCAGTGCTGGTGGGCTATTGATTTATCGGGGCTACGACAGCAGCACTTCTGCTGGTTCACTTGGCCTATGATTTTTGCAGCTTCAAAGGGTTTACTTTCATAAAGGGATCTGAGACGAAGAGCTGAGTTGATGAACCATGAAGAGAATCCTGCATGTCTTCAAAAAAAAAAACGTGAGGGAAGACCCGTCCCCTTTTGAGTTTGTGTAAGTGAGATATCGTGAGCGCACATGCCTCTTAGGGATTGCTCTTTGGTGTGAATAAAACTATTTATGTCTATGAGAGTTCCACATGGATGCTTCTTTCCCCAAGTACCCTTTTCTTTCTGTTGTTATTGCGTGTGCCTGTCTCCTTGTGCCCACTTGTATGTCGATGTTGTATGGTGTATTTTTCTTAACTCACATGTCCACAATAAATACGCACACAGAATTCTAGCAATCTAACAAAGTAAATCATGCTGTCCCTTAACTCGTACAACTTTTCTAACGGCGCCGCCGCGGCCTCCTTTTCTTTGCCGCTCATGGATTGCACGAGCGCTATTCATAACTCGGACAACATTCAAAAAGGTGCGTCATACTTTAGCACGGGAAAGAAGGCCGCCACCATAACGGTTATGGGACAGCTTAAGGAATCAATGCTTGCTATTGAAGAAACGCAGCCGCCTGGGATTTCGTTAAAACGCACCAATAATCCATACGCACGTAAGTTGGCAGATGGTACCCCATGCGTCCCCAGGTCTCCACTTTCCGCGGAAATGAGCTTTATGATGTCATACAAGGAGGTGGAGGGTAAAGGCCTGAACGCGGTGCTGCCGACATCCAACACGCCACGCATGGTGACAACGGTAGCACAAAACAATTCCAATTCTGTGCAGGGCAATGCGAAGGGTAACTTTCCATCTGTTTCGCGCAGCGGCACAATGAAGCAATTTGCATTCTGGGTTCCGCCCTTCAAGGGGGAAGTTGTTGCAACGCCCACTGTTGTGCGGAGCAATCACATCGGTACTATGTCGTCAACACCGCCCCCAATCCACACCGCAACAAAGCGTGTGGAGATTTGGAACGCCCGCAACAATGCCTCGGCTCACTCAACCCCCGCCAATACTTGTGGTTCTTCTGCGACAAGAACAGATTCAGTAACGCATGTCCGGTGCAGGCGCGTATACGTCAACGGACGTCCCATGACTGTGTGGCCTAAGGAGGATGAGCCCGCCACGGGAGGGTACGCTTGAAACTAGGTTGCAGCACTTTTTTTTTTGGTAATGGACCTCCTCTTTAGGCTGAAGTGCCCTCGAGTGCTGCGTTGTTTTTCCGCTTTTTGTATTTGTTGCGGGCTGTTTGTTTGTTTCTCTTTTCGTTGTTTTCCCCGTTCCTTTTTTTCTTTTTTTTTTTTTTTATGAACACGTCGCTTGTGTCGCCCTCTTCCCCCCCGTGACCTCTGTCCTTGTCCGTTTCAGTCCACCCACTCTCCCACATACCGCTGACCAAAAAGGTGAGACAACGGGGCGGGAAGGAAGCCACGCACGGGATGAGGTTACGGTTTGTGCGCGTGTTGGAGCCAGCTACGAAATCTATTTCTTATTCCCTACTACACGCCATACGTGGCTTTTTTTTTCTTTTCATTTGTTTGGTCATTAACGGCAAGAACACCTTTTTAAAAATTATTCTTTTTCTTCCGGGAGGCCCTTCTCATCATTACTTCATTCGCACTTGTTTTTATTTCTTTCCTGCGTGCGGGGGCGGTGGCTTGTGTTGGCCCCCTCCTGACGTGCACTCGGAGAGAAGGCATAAATAAGGATGGGGTCTACTCGCGGGGAGCCACATTACAGAGGAGAAAAGAACACGAATGAATAACACCATTATATATGCATGTATGTATATATATATATATCTAGTACGTAACCTTGGTTCTTTCTTTTCTGTGGTGTTTTTTTCGTTGGTCTTCTTGCCGTCCAGGCGGAGTTTGGTAGATAAAGTGTGTGACACACTGGTTTACTTGTTCGTTTTTCGTTCAATATTGTTTGTGTTTATGCTGTGTATTGGTTTGCTGCAGCGGTCAGCGTTGCTGCTGCGTCCGCCGCCACGGGTTGGTGTTGCCTCGGTTCTTTTTGTTTGTGTGTTGCGGTAACACCGCAATTATTTGGGCTAAAAAGGAGGGAATAAGGTCGAATTTCATCTTTTTCTTCTCCCCCTGCGTGTACTTTTTTTCTTGTGTTTTTGGTGTTTGCCGCTTGAAGGCCTTTTATGACTTTGTGCCGGTGCCTGACTGTGTCTAGGCGCGACGACTGTGGACCCGTACGCACAAACATTATTGTTGATCCCATTTCTATGAATTTGAACGCAACAGTTCCTGCCGTTGTTTGATTTTTTTTTCAAAAAAAAACAGTTTTTATTTCCTTCTGGACCGTCCTGGAACGCTTTGAGTTGTACGACGCAGGGCGGTGCCGCTGTAATGATGTTGCACTTTACGCGTTTGTGTGGTGGACATAGCGTGACTCCCAACGTGGGGAGTGTAGTGCGGTATTTTCATTGCGAGTGATGACGTGACGCGGATGCAAATAATAGCAATGAATACTCATAACGATAATAACGTTTATGGTCATTGATGACGGCGATATTTGGGCGGGGGAGTCGTGAGTGAGTGAGTGAGTGTGGGAGTGTGGGGGGTCTTCTCTTGGGTGCCTGAGGCGTCCGTCGTGCGGACCGTCTTCGTGCATCCCCTCAGTGAAGCCACACGGTGGGAGCAGCAAGGAGTGACAAAATGCCCCAAGGCAAAAACAAAGGAGGCTAACGTGGCAAAACGAAATAAAAAAAAAACGTTTTCTTCACAAAAATGAACAATAACGACAAAAAAAAAGCTGACAGCAAAAGGCCCTCATCATGCCAGTGCATTTTTTTTTTCCTCAATTGCTGCTTCTCATTACTACTCACACTCCTCAGCGTTTTAATGGCTGTTGGGTGCCGCGGGCTGTCAACACGAGGCATAAGTGGACAACAAAAAAATAATTTAAAAAAGACGACAAAACGAAGAGCTTAAAAGGGATTGATTATGTGTGTTATTTTTGCCTTTTATGCAACCTTTACGTGACGCGTGCTTCTTGTTTTCTTTGCCGCGATCACGATGCCCATGTTGGTTGCTTGTGTTCCGGAGAAGCGTCCATACAAATCTATAAATATAAGTCTATATAGTGCGACTGATACCTGGAAAAGAGAAGAAAAACACCAGTGGCTACACACACGCAAGTGAGCTATGCAGAAAAGGAAACCGAATGTGGGTGGTAAGGAGATAGGGAAAGCGAGTCAGACAGAAGCGGTGCAAGGAATGAAAAAGAATATCACGAAAAGGGACTCCCTTAAGGACACTTTCTTTGTGTTTCTGTCAAATGAAAAAGAAGGGGGGTTATGGCGTTCGTTTGGTGACAGACGTAAGTACGCATGCCATTACTGAGATCACATGCACGTACAAAAATAACTATGCGGATGCTTAACCTGAGTGTCAGTACATTTTGTTTTCAAGCTGTGACTGATGAAGTTATTTTGAGTATTTACGGGGCAGTCAGCTCACAAAGGGACACCGCTTATAGAGAAAAAAACTGCAACAACCCATCGCACTCCTTTTCAGATAATGATAGGCCTGCAAATGTCCTCCTGAAAAAAAAACAAAAGCTACGAAGGTATCAAACAAAAAAAAAGAAATGTCCTTCACATATCTATTATTAAATGCTTCTGTGGAGAAATGAGGTTAAATGCACCAACAGAGCATTTGGAAAAGATTAACTGGTGTATGCATGTGGCGCTGTTGGAGTGCGGCAGGTGGGCAACTGCAGTGGGGATGCACAAGTGAGACAAGGAGTCTCTATGCGTCGGCGATGACGGCTCTGTGCCGCCACCGGTCCTGCCACCGCCTGACCAGGCCGTGCAAAAGCCAGTGTGGAGAGGGTGTATGAAACAACGCCAAAAAAAAAACGGGACGAGGAGAACACACGAAAAAAAAATGGGATATTTTATTACCGGCAAGAGGAATGAATGATATAGGGAACCCAATAAAAAAGCTCTTTTTTCTCTCTCTTATTATGCTATGAAAAAAAAAAAAATGTAGTTATGCCTACGTTTTCGGTTTACTGAATTATCTTTTTGCCGTGACTCTCTGAGGAATGTACGCCGCAGTAACTCACGTGGGAAGGAGGACATCGCTGCTCCTCCTTCCTTTGTTTTGTTGCCTTTGCGTCTGCTGGGGGAACGCAGTTGTGGGTGGTTAGCTGCGAAAAGGAAAGGGGGAAAAGAGGTAGAACGGCATTAATAGGCAGACTGTCTTGAGCCGTCCAAGCACAAGCCAGTACACCTTATCTTTACGTAAGACAGAAGATTGATATGCAGAGCGGTGGGGAACTCTACTCTTCATTTTTCTAATTCCTCTTCTTTCTTTGTTATTCTGTTGGTGTTCTTATACAGACTCCCAAGTTGTTTTTTTTTTTTGCTTAGTTGTACTCCTATGCCCCCACCACGTCCAGAGTTTGAGAACCCACCCGATGTTCTCTACAACGAAACAGGTGCTAGTCGTTACACAAGCAGCACACGCGTCCAGTTGGTGCAAAGAGCCATGACGGTGCGTGCACTGGAACTCATTGGCATCCCTTCTGGCCGACAAGCCTTGTTGTTAGACATTGGGTGTGGAAGTGGCATCAGTGGAGATGTGCTTCGCTCGATGGGGCACACGTGGATTGGTGTCGATATCAGCAAAGACATGTTGTTGCTAGCCAAGGAATCGGAGCAAAAGGAAGAAGGAGAAAGAGATAGTGATAGGCAAAACGGGACAACGGACATTGGTGGACAAATTCATAGCAATGATCTTAGAAATGTGAAGTGGGGCCTTATTACAGAATCAGACGACGACAACAACAATGAGGCGAGTAATGAAGACGAAGACGATGATACGTTAACAGGTCCTTCAATGGTTGAAGTTATACGTGGAGACATGGGTCATGGTTTGCCATTTCGTCCCGGGTCTTTTGATGGGGCAGTCTCTATATCAGCAGTACAGTGGCTTTGTCAAAGTGACTGCCGCGGGCATGTGCCGCAGCGACGTCTGCGTGCCTTATTTCAATCTCTTTATAATGCGCTCCACCGAGGCGCCAAGGCCGCTCTTCAGTTTTACCCAAGCAACATTGAGCAGGTTCACATGATCACGCGTGCCGCCATGTTATGTGGTTTCACAGGTGGCGTCGTAGTCGATTTCCCACACAGTGCCAAGGCGAAAAAACATTATTTGGTTGTACAGGCCGGTCAAGTTGCGGGTGGGTTTCTGCCTCGTTTACCAATTGCTGCGTGCGGCAGTGATGGGGATCAAGAAGAGGAATGTGATGAAGGAGAAGAAGAAGAAATTGGGAATGAATCCGAATTAGGCGACGAAGACGGTGATGAAAAACACATGAAGGCTCGTGTGGGTGGTCGCATGCGTGTGAAACATTCCAGCTCCCACAGTGGCGGCTCAGCGTGCAAGCGACGCCGGAAGGACAATCGTCCAGTCACAGGTTCAAAGGACTGGGTGCTGCTTAAGAAAGCTGAACGCCGAAAGTTTGGTCTTCCAACAACAGAGGACTCCAAGTATACCATGCGGAAGCGCCGGCCACGGTTTTAAGCAGGAGAAACCAAACGAAGAAGAAAGGGTGTTGGTGTCTGAGGATGGGAATCCCGCAGCGCGCACATTTGCGCTCCTCTTCAGCCTCACATCAGTGCCCGTTGCTCTTCTCAGACGTATTGAGATTTATTAAAATCCGGTAACAAGAGGAAAAAAACAAAGAAAAAAAAATGAAATGCAACTACTAACACCAAAAACAATATGCGTGTAACTTATATGGTTCGTAAACAAGAAGCGGGCTGTGATCAACAGAGTGTGGGGTGGGACGTGTGCGGTGAAGTGCTTCACAAAGGAAGTGGGAGGGTTTTCACACCGATCCCGCATCCTTTGTGAGTCTAGGTTTTTATTTATGTGATTTTTTTATTCTTCTTTATCTTATGAACTGTGCTGGAGAAGAAGCTAGAGAGGAAGTGGGGCAGACGCAGTCCTGTCAACGGGTTCTTGCTCTTTGCGGGAGGGATTGGGTGAGAGGGAGAAAGGGAAGAGTAAAACTCACGGACAGAGTGACAACAATAAAGCGTCCCCTCAGGCTGGGCATCAATTGGTATGTCGGACGATGATCGGGATAGTGAACAGTCCTCTCTGGACGAGGTGAGCAAGCGGTTTGTGCCCGTCCGCTGCGTGGAGGACTTTCAAACGTTGGTTATGACCGAAGAAGAGTCACTCTGTGCCCTCGTTGTGACGTCGTTTTTATGCCCCTTTAGCGCCAAAGTTTTGCCTGTCGTAAAGGAGAAAATTATTATCTCCGAACTGCCACAAACCCGTCGCGTGCGCTACTTTCATGTGGCGTTACTCCCTGAAGAAAAGACTGACATAACCGCCTTGCTTCAAAAAGACCCTGTCTTCCTTGCGACCAATCGACCACCCACAGAGCTGCAAAAGAAACAGCTTCATAAGCAGGCGTATGATGATTTGATGGAGCTTTTAACGTTTCTTGAAATTTGCAGCACTCCATGTATGCTGTTTTTTGTACAGGGCAAATGTGTGCGAATTTCAGACGTTTCGGACGCTCCGCGAGTTATTGCGACGGGAAGTTCCGTTAGAAAATGGGAGGCAGTCCTTCAAAACGCGGTGGTGCGGCGAAACGAATTGTTGCAGGAGTACGATGCTGAAAAGAAACGGGAAAAGCGACGGATCGAGAGGGAACGACGCCGGGAAGCGCGACGGCGAGCAAAGGCCGAAGAAGCAGAAGAAGATGAGGAGGAAGAGGACTGATCAAACAACACCAACAAAAGAACACTTGTTGTGCACTACGACTTCTTGCCGACTATTTTTGTTTTTGTTTGGGCTCCTGTTCATAGTGAGAGCATTCATGTATAGCGCGTGTGATACCACAAATGGACAACCGTAATTAGTTACCGGATGTACGACTTTTTTGTTGTTGGTTTGTGCATTGTTGTTGTTGTTATTGTTGTTTCCCTCTCTCTTTTTTTTCTTTGTTTTTGCTTGCCCTGAGGATGCCGTCTCAGTCTTTTGAATGCGACACCCACAAACTCCAAGCATTTACTTTTTCTCTCTTTCTTATGTGTTGTTGTTGCGGCTGCTGCTTTGCGCCTGTTGTTTTTGCCAGGAGTTTGCCACACAGTTGAGGGCTGTGACAACTCTCTCACCAGTGTGAATTGTTGATGTTCGTGCAGCAAGATATTTTTGGGGAAGTTACCTCGGAAGCGAAATCACAGGTGCCAAACCTCACGCGTGAAGAAGAGCTGCTGCTTTGTGGTGTGCGGCCGGGCAGTGAATTTTTGCCACTGCTTTATTCAGCCCTTGCCTCGCTGCAAGGCAAAAGCAAGAGAATGAGTCCCGTCCCCTCTGCAGCTTTGCGCAGGGTTGCTGCCGGCAATGATGGCAGTGACTACGACTTGAAGGGGGAGAAACCTTCAAGCGGCGTAAGGGAGAGGACACACGCGTTCAGTCCTCTGAAAAATGTTGCTGAAAGTTCACAGAACAATGGCTTTACGGCCTTTTCTGATGTTAAACATGGAATTGGTTACCGCTCACAAGGCAGACTCCCTAGTGTCACACACAATCGTGCAATGCCACCACAGCTCCCTCCTCCACGTGTAGTTGCCCCCGTGCTCATGCCCATGTGCGATGCAGCACCGCCTGCACCGCCACGGCCACTTCCACCCAAAGTGATTTTGAATGACCTCCGTGGTGGCGCACTTCCTCCGTTGAATACTGAGGTATCCATTGATATGGATTTTCTGAAAGGATCCCCAAGGCCGACAGGTGGTCTAAATTTAAAAACAGTTGGACACCCAAGATTGTTTACGAGTGGCGCAATCCCTATCAGTCATACTAAAGCGATGCCTGCCAAAATGGGCGACTTAACCCTGCCGCTTAGCTGGCCCTCGCACGAAGACCACACGAAACATCTTGGAGGACGAGGCTGCATCGGTAATAAGGCACCGTTGGCCCCTCTGAGGAACTTCGGAAAAAGTCCAGCGGGGGGACTACTGCCAAAAAAGTAGTGCTACCCTCTGGAAGGGAGCAGCAAAGCGAACGGCCGTGAAGGCTATGGTGTTTGACGAAACAGTTCCCTACTTTTTCCCATACATGAACATTTGGCGCAAGCGTCATTCCCTCTGCGCTGGAGAAATAAATCCCATTAAATTATGCCTCACCGTAGATGATACGATGGAGCGAGGAGAAATCCAAACAAAAGGGAAAAGTAACATAAAACGAATTTAAAAAAAATCGAGAAATAATGAGAGAGATGTTAGTGCGATGCTTGCTTTTGTTTCTTTAAAGAAACAAAAAAAAAATAGAGGAGGGAGGGGACTCTCGCCCTTCGTTCACACACGCAACGACGAAGAGAAGGAAATGGAAGCAATTTCCCTTAAACCTATCTCACCAATAAAATGGTGCTATATTTTTTTTTTCCTTTGTTCAGACGTTATATGAAAGTTTTTTTGTGTGTTTTTTTTTTGTATCCTTTTTATTTGAAATCCTTCGTGTGCCACTGTTTTTGTTTGTTTTTGCGTGTTTGTTTGCTTAGAGTGTCAATGGAAAATATCACCTTCATGGCCCAGGCGTTTGACTGCTAGCACCAGACACACTCGCTTTGCACCCTAGGTATAAATGTGTGTTATCGCTTCAAACAACCAATACGACCGCCTGTGCTTTCTGTTTTGTTCTTCGTTTTTGGGGCTTTTAAGCTGGTAGAAAGAGGGATATAAAATAGGATCCCCTGGGAGGTCTAATGAAAGTAAGAAGAAGGATAACGTAATTTTTATGGAAAAAAAACCTTTTTCTAAATGTTTAAATTGGTAGAGATAAAAAAATTATATAGTTTACTTACAACAGGTGGAATGCGCCTGTTTTTCGGTGCCTCTGTCTGTTATTTCTGCGTACCAGCAAACTATTTCGTCATTACTTCTTTGAACGCAGTAGATTTAAGTCAGGAAGAAGTAAAAGATGAAAAATTGAAAGGAACGACTTTTACAGGGAAATATGTGAAGAACATTCTTGTTCTTGTGTT